CATTCTGACAAATGCCCCCTGTGAGGCGCATCACCCCAGTGGAGAACCACTGCCCCAGAGAAAGCTGCCTGTGGGAGAGGGGCTGAAGGAGCAGTAGTGTGTGCCCTGAACATCCTGCCAAGGACAGAGGCCCCTGGGGAGTTCATAGAACAGTGACCTGATTAGCCAGGCCCCTTTCTTTGTCTGTAGGGCCTGTGAAATCACTCTGGCTCCTCTGCCAGCACCAAAGCCCTTTATGTCCGGATGGGAGGGACAAGAGTCCCCAGGGACCAAGCCCATGGATTCCAGCAGCTTCCTGCCTATCCCTTTCCAGCTCAGGCTTCCTATTGGGTCACCTGAGAACTCCATCTAGCATTTATAACAACTCTGCTCTGAAACCTTCACTCTCCGTTACTACCCACCCCACTTCCCCAACCCACCCCCGTCCCACCCCTCAGTGGACATTGGATTGCCCCAGCTCCCAGGCACAAACTTCCTCCCTAGCCAGGCCAGATGGTCACTGTCCCAAGGAAACCATGCGTTGCTCCCTTTGCTCACATGGCCTCCCTCTCCTGGGCTGGTTTCTCATTCCCCTGCTTATCTGACTTCAGTCGTTTTGGGTTCCAGCATGTTCAATGCCTACCTAGCTGTGTGACCAGGGCAAATTGCTGCCCTCTCTGAGCCCATTTCTTTATCTGCAAAACAAGGATTAGGAAGGTGTAATTTATCTCCCAGGGTAGGTATGAAAATTAAAATCATTTATTTGTGGTAATAATCCTGGAACTTAGTAAGTACTTAATACATGTTTGTTGTTATTGTGACTACCCGATGGTCTTGCTGAACTGGTCTTCTGGGGCCACATAAAGGAAGGAACATGTGTGAAAAGACCTTAGCTCAAGTTCCAACTCTACTTCTAGCCCAGGTGGCAACTTGAGCCAGTCATTTAATTCAGAGTCTCCTAGGAGGCTCAGTTTCCTCTTCTGAAAAATGGGTACAGTAAGTAATGCTCCTAGGGCTGCTGTGGTATTCCCATCCGCTAGTGTTCAAATGCAAGCACCGTGCTGGCATTTGAGTAGGTGGGACACCTGAGGGACCAGATATTTTTAAGGCGGGGCCAGAGGAAAGAGCCGATGGTATCTCCTGTCCTGTCAGTCTTCTCCTGGCTCGAAGCCACTTGCCAAGTGATGGTGCTGAACTGTGCCATTTCTCTGCTTCTTGGCCCACTGTAGTGTGTGGTTAATGATGATCCAGACGTTTCCTGGGGCCTCTGCAGCCCATGCTTCTTCTAGAATGCCTTTTGACTCTAAGGCCTCAGAGAGGCTTAAATGAATGAAGAACCCACCTGGAGACCAGATGGGCTGCCTGCTTTTTGTTTTTGTAAAACAGTGCCTTGGGACCTAGAAAAGAGCTCTGACCTGTAAAACAGTGAATCCCAGGGGACTAGATTTGTTTCGCTGGGTCTGTCACCACTCCTGATGATAAAGGATGGGTGGAGGGAAAAAAAGTGTCACTACGCCCTCTTCTAGGTCTTTCTCTGATCTCAAGGCTATTTGTTATTTCTGCCAGCCCTAGCCTCCCGGAGGGCTGGAGGGAGGCCCAGAAGACAGGACCCTCTGCGATGAGGTGGGAGGCCCTGGATGGAAGTGGCCCTCAGCCTCTATGCGTTAGGCATGCCCACTGCCTAATAAGAACACAAGACCCACCGCTAGCCCCGCCTCCACTGCAAGCACTGCCCAATGAATAGCATACCCCTCCCCCACACAGACCCACTAGGCCCACCCAATGAGTCGCGGGCACTGCCTTCAGCCATTCCCTGGGCTTCTCTGCCTAGGACCTAGTGGTCAGTCTTGCATTTCCTCATTCACATAAGCTCACCCCTTTAGTCTCAATCTCAGAACCACTGAGAGCCCACTTGGCTGCCTCCTAGAAGCTCTCCGCACTGGTCAGTAGCACTGGAAGTGGACCCTGTTGCCCTACATAGGCCTAAGAATCTGGGGCAGAGCCCTCCTGCCCGTGTGCTAACGCCCCCACCCTTAAGCTAGTGCCCCAACTTCTGCCCTGAGCCACAATTTCTGCCTGTTGCTGGTTCCCTCAAATCATCCTGGGCACCATAGGTATAAGGCCCAGGTTCCTGCGGAGCACGCAGAACTACTGCCCACACCTGCCCCTCTGCTATAGACACCCTGGAATGACCCACATTACATGGCCAGTAGGATTGGCCTCATCTGTGTCTGATTAGATTCTTCTTCTCTCCCTAGCTCCCCGCTACACACACACTTCCTATACCCGCCTCCACCTCTTACCTCCTGACCCCACGGTGGGAATTCCTGCATTCTATGTGGCAGGAGCCTTCTAGTTCTGACAGGCTGCACTGTGACCAGTCAGCAGAGTAACACTTTCATTCTCCAGTTCCTTCTCATGGCTCCCCCTCTTCAATGTCCCTGGATAGAGAATTATGTTTCCATTGACCTCTCTATTCACAGGGCTAATTGTTTCCATACAGCCCTCTGAGTTCTAAGAACAGGAAAGAAGAGTATAAAAGGCAAAACTAAATTTACTCTTGTCAGATCTCATGGAAGGAGCTTGATACGTCAACGGTCAGCTTTATTAGTGGATGTATGGACAAAAGCACAGTTCAGGGGCTAGCTGTCGCTCCGGTTCAGGACAGTTGCTATCAATGAGGCATTTTATTTCTGTGCATGTACACAGCCATCCAAGGCGACTGAAGTAGAGGATAATGCTCCGGCCAAGTGTAACCATACCCCAGGTCCACTGATAAGGAAAGCGCCAGAGAGCCACATGAACTGGTGATACGACTCCTTCTTTCCACCTTTCCTCCCCTCTGTCTTGCTCTAGTCTGTAAATGGTCATCCAGGCTAAAGAGAGCCGCTTCCACATTCCGCCTTCTTCTGGCTGGGCATCGGCTCCCTCGGGGAGGAAAGTGTAAACAGAGTTCATGAGACTTTGAGAGCCAGACCTGCTAAGCCAGTGCGGCCAGCCTGTACTGCCTGCCCAAAGAGCAACACAAGCTGGGTCAGTTTAATTTGGTGAGCCTTTCCAGAAATCTTCCCCATGCACTGGGTACACAAGGGAGAGCTTATTTGAGTAGTACACAGTCCTTGCCCTCCTGGGAAGATGTGGGCACAGAAGACTGTACCCCGCATTGGGAGAAGGTACTAACAAAGTTAAAGAATCTCAGAGGAAAGTGAGCCCACCTGCTGGGTAATCGGGAAGCCTCAACCTTGGAACTGAGCCTTGTGAGGGGTGATTACAACAAACAGAGAGGTACTGGTAAAGGAACAGTCTTGCGTGAAGGCCTTGGGCCTGAGTGGGGTGGAGGGATGAGTGAGAGATAGGCTGAAAGGGGCTGGAACTGGATTGCACATGGCCTTGATTGCACTGGCTCTGCCAATGTTTGCTGGGTCACCTGAGACGACTCACGTCTCTTCTCTGTTTTCTCCATCAGCCAAATAGGAGAGTTGGCCTAGAATCAGTCGTTTTCAGCTTTTTTCGACTCATCATCTACTTCTCATAACAAATGATTTGTAATGTCTCAAAGACTGAATGACATTTTAACAATTTCAAGTATATACATACATATATACATACTCTGAGTATAGTATAATACATAGGAAAAGCAGGAGGAAATTATTTACAGTAAAATATTGTGCATGTTCACTCACACCCACATTGGAGAACACTAGAAGTAGTCAGGTAAAACACCATTTTTCCTCAAATGCGTCCCGAAAAAGGTAGGTTACATCAGTCAGGGGGATCGTTCTTAGCGATGTAGTTTCCAAAAACATTAACAATTTGCAGTGACGTTCCGAACAAAACAAATTCAGTCTTCCCCCAATTTACACAGTAGTAGCATTCCAAAATAGTCACTATATATTAAAACCGTACAAAAAGTATTTTGTGTTTATACATCAAATAGAGTTAAGTTGTATTTTTAGATCATTATAAAAAATATTTCTCATGCACATGAATGTCTGGCGGAACATTTGAAAATGATTGGGGGACTGAATTTCATTCAGGGCATTTAGCATCCCTAGATCCCAACTAACGCTCACGTGAACTTCCAAAACCCCCCCCCAGGGGGATTATCCAGCCCCTGGATAATCTTTAAGTTCCCTCCCAGCTCTGAAATTCCCTAATTGTGGACCTCATTCTGGCTTATTCAACAAACTTTTGTGAAGTGCCCACCACATGCCTTGCCCTGGCTATCCACAGGGAACAAGCAGCCACAGCTTCTGCTCTTCTGCAGCTAACTTTAGATCTGGAAGGACCTTAGCCATCACCGTTCCATTTTACAAAAAGGAAGCTGAGGCCCAGAGAGAGCGAGCTTGTTTTCAGCACCACGCAGCCTCCTGGGGACCAACCAGAACCTGACCCTAGGGAGGCACCTTAGAATGGGTCCATAGTCTTCTCTCCGCTCATTGTCTTGCCCTCCTCCATCCCCTGCAGTGCCGGCCGCCCTGACCCTGGATCCAGGCACTGCCCACCAGCGTCTGATCCTGTCAGATGACTGCACCATCGTGGCCTACGGCAACCTGCACCCACAGCCTCTGCAGGACTCACCAAAGCGCTTCGACGTGGAGGTGTCAGTGCTGGGCTCCGAGGCCTTCAGTGGTGGCGTTCACTACTGGGAAGTGGTGGTGGCAGAGAAGACCCAGTGGGTGATCGGTCTGGCACACGAGGCCGCGAGCCGCAAGGGCAGCATCCAGATCCAGCCCAGTCGCGGCTTCTACTGCATCGTAATGCACGACGGCAACCAGTACAGCGCCTGCACCGAGCCCTGGACGCGGCTCAACGTCCGCGACAAGCTTGACAAGGTGGGTGTCTTCCTGGACTACGACCAAGGCCTGCTCATTTTTTACAACGCCGACGACATGTCCTGGCTCTACACCTTCCGCGAGAAGTTCCCTGGCAAGCTCTGCTCCTACTTCAGCCCGGGGCAGAGCCACGCCAATGGCAAGAATGTGCAGCCGTTGCGGATCAACACCGTCCGCATCTAGCGTGGCCGAGGGAGACTGCAGGCACCTGTACCCTGGCCAACAGCAAGAGCCATGCCGGGGAGACGGGAGGCCTGGACTCTGGCCCAGCTTGGCCACCCTGAGATCTCAGGCCAGTTGTTTACCCTTCAACCTCCTTTTCCTTGTCTGTAAAGTGGAGATTGTGCTCCATGATTCCTAAACTCTTCTAGCATTGATGTTCTGTAGCTCTGACCTTGATAGGGATGCAGCTTTGGTCCAAGGATGTGACATGGCTTCTCCTCAGGGCAGCCCCTGCCCAACCCTCATCCCCATCCTCCCAGGGTCAGGGGACTGTCTCCCTATGTATCCCTCCTGCCCACATGCCCTGACCTCAGGATGTGTCGTAGTGTTGTTGCCAGCAATCGGCAGGCCGAAAGACACACAAAACCCTCTTATGCAACCAGGTCTAAGACTTGCCCATGACCAAACTAGTGGTGGGCCATTTTATCTATGACCCCAGTCCACAGTGGACACAGGCAATAGCTGGTCCTAGGGTGGCCTGAAAACCACCCTCTCCTTCCACCTCTGGACCAAGAGCTTCATGATTCCTGTCTTTCCTACTTATCTGCAGGTAGAATTGATGCTTTGGCCTGTGGAAGGACCCCAGTAGTTGAGCCCAAATGTTAAAGTCACTGTGCCACAACCTTCCTGCCCACAAGTCTAAGGCAGGATGATGGCACACCCCAAGGCTGATGCAGAGCCCGTTAGCCTAAAGACAGCCATAGGACAAGCATCACCAGATGACAGAGGTCCGCTGAAGCTTGCATAAGGGTCTAGCCACACCCTCCATGACCAGGCTAGGGTGTGGGGGTGCTGTAGGGAGGCTGTTTTAGTCAGGACCTGAGTACTGGGATGGGCTGTTGGCTGAGACCTCTCATCAGTCCTGGCGTCTATCTCTTTTAAGATCCTGTTGTAGAAAACAAGAGCTGCTTTAGCTAGTTTAATTAGACAGGATTTATGACCAGGTCCCTGATGGCTTTGCAAAATCATTGGAAGGGCTGGAGGAGCAGACTCTTTGATGAATTTCCGGGAACAACTCCCAGCTGCCAGATTCATCTTGTCTCTCCTGACCAAGAATGCTGCTCCCATGTGCAGGAAGCTACTGCATCAAGAAGCTGCTAACTGCAGAACTGTGCTCCCTCTGCTACTCTCCATGCCAGAAAATGGATGTCCTGAGGTCTGCCCCTCTCCCATTCAATTTAGTTCCTAAATTCGGATCTCCATGAGGGACTCTTTTTGGAGAAACACAAATCAGATCCAGAACCTTGGCTGCAAGGGAGTCTGGGAAATGTAGGTTTTTTCTTCTCTCCAGCTTCAGCCATACAAAAAGGCTCACTAGAAGGAAGTTAGAATGGATGGTGAACAAGCTCATCCACGGTTTTTGCACTGGAGTCTACCTCCAGGCCTTGGCTTTGAAGCAGCAGAGGCTCCAGGTGTCCTGCTCTGTGGCTCAGTCCTTACCCAGGGACAGGAGCCTGAGGGATGGGCCTGTAGGACTGAATCGAAATGTCTCTCCAGCGTTGGCTTTTCTTTCAAGTCCTGGAGCCTCACTTCTGAACTTGGAGTCTCTGACCACACCCATCCCAAAAGAACCAGACTAGCTGAACTTGGAGGGCTCTCACCTCAACTACTGCCCACAGGAGCCTCCCTTAGGCAGGAGAAATCCTCAGTCTCACCCCACCCCTTCATCTACCAGAATCTGGGCCACCCCCAGTGGTATTTTTATTTTAAATGTTGCTCATTTTGTGAGTTATGATCAATTTGTATTAAAGTTACAGGATATCAGTGGTCAGTTCCATTCATTTTGACAAAGAGGCCCACCTGTTCTGTCTCAGGTAGTGTACATACATTAGGACGTCTAATCCACAAAGCATCTTATTGGGTAGATAGTATTATGCCCATTTTACAGAAGTGGAAAAATGAGGTTCCGCAAGAGGACATGACCTGCCTGCAATCCCATGTCCCACAGTGGTAAGCGATGGAGCTGGGATTAGAACTGCTTTCTAAAGCCAGCATTCATATCACACCTGCTAGCCAGAGAAGACTGGCAGTCTGCCTGGAGGAGGGTTGGTGGTAGCCTTGGGAGCAGAGAGGAGCTCATGAGACAATGACAAAAACATGGTCTCTGGAATCCCACAGACCTGGGCTTGAATCCAAGCTCCATTACTGTGTCACTTTAGATACATGACTTAACCTCTCTGGGTCCCAGTTTTTTCACATGGAAAATTGGGATAATAACCCAATCTTAACATGATTGATTAGTAAACTGCAAAGTGCGATGCACTTAGGGAACCTCTGCCTCTGATTCCAGCTGCCTCCCAGAGCCAATGCCTGGAACCGTGAGTTTTCTGAACCTCTGAGCAGACTCTGACACTAAGGAGTCTTTTCCTCCTTGTGTCTTATGTGGGGTGTGGGACCACCTAGGCCAGGAAGGTCTGAAGGTCTGCTGTGCAGAAGCAGATTCATTCTACCTCTGACTGAAGTGGAAGCAGCCAGGCCAGGAGTCAGGCAGAACCCTGCATGTGGACACGCAGGCTGCGCACACGGTAAGTGGAAAGGCTGCTGGGGCCCCCTGCAGTTGTTTAGTGCAGCAGCTGAGGAAACAGGTGTCCCGGGCCTAGTTTTAGTTCTGTGCTGACTCACTTTGTGCCCCAGAGGTCCCTTCTTCAGTCTCCTCACCTTCAGAGTAAGGAAGTTAGACTGGATGCATGTGAGGTGCCAAATCTTCACATATACCAGGAAGCGGGGAGAGAAGAGAGGGCACCACCCCAGCCATTAACTTGTTTGGAATTCTAGTAAGAGGGGCAGGGCATGAACAAGGATTGGGAGGGGCTGTTCTTAAGGGCAGAAAAATCTCTGATTGGCTAACGGAGAGCATACCTATATACAGAGAAATTGGGGGGGTGTGATTCTGAGACAAGTATCCTCAACCTCCCTGACCCCGCCCCATGTTCTCAGATCCCTGTGACGCCCACAAAGCCACATTCCTCTATCTTTGCTCCATGGATCTGTCCTCTGGGGGAAAAGCGCTCCCTCCATGGTCCTTCCTGTCTTTTCCCACCCAGAGTCTCAGCACCAGGTCCAAGAAATGCTAGCCATTTCCCAGTCTTCGCTCCCAGTTTCCAAGCCTCTGGGAATAGTTGTAGGGGCCTAATTTGCACGCTCAACTAGGGACTCCAGGAAATCAGGACACCTCCAAGAGATAGGAAGTATCCAGAGAATTCTTGCATGAAAGCGTCTGGGACTCTCCGACTGATCCTGGAACCCCACATTTAACACAGGTAAGTGAAGATAGGAGGAAAATGCAACCTTGGGGAAGAAGGGATCAGCAAAGGTCTTACTCAAGGCTGGAAAAAATCAATAGACAGTAACCCCATTCAGATCCCTGTTTGCGGTCGGCAGGCAAAGTGATAGTACTTTTTGTACTTTACCTAACGTTGAGACAAGCTCATGAGGTTGGTATCATTATCTCAGTGTTTGAGTGGAGAAACATTACTTCCCAGGGGACCCACAGCCAGTACTCAGCAGATCTCAAAATCAAACCCATGTTCATCCAAATCTAAAGCCAAATTCTTCACTGGACCTCCCAAGACATGCTCCTAAACTTTGAAGACCACTCCACTGCAATGACAGGCAGCAGCCCCCAGAACTGTGAGCCCCCTGGGATCCAAAGTGGGAATTTAAACCAGGCTCCACATCATTGCGGAGTTGTGCAATTGTGAGTCAAGATGAGAAAGTGAGCCAAGCCTCATGTGTCCCTCGGGGTAAGGGGTGGACTCATGAAGGCACTATGTGAAGCTGAGCAGGTCTCTCTCTCTGGACCTCAGTTTCCCCATCTCTACTGGGGAAGGGTTAAATAGTTCATTGATAGCCAAGGTCCTGGTTCTTATGGTCCAGGGTTCTGTAAATCTAATGTAAGTCTCAGGGCTTTGCCTGCTAAGCACCTAACAAGGCCATTAGCTCTGGATCCTTCTCTCTGGGGTGGTAGCAGGAGCAGAAAACAACAGAGATAAGGTCTCTTGGCAGCACAGAGCTTGGCTCAGGTCCTCTAGGGACCAGCCTTCCCTCCTGCCAGAGAGGCCATCCCAGGAGGCTGACTGCTCATACCCAAGTAGCATTCTTAGCTTCCTTCCCTCTTGCCTGGATCCTGGCTCTGTTCACTTTCCCCAAGCACTCCATCAGGAAGTCAGTTACAAAGGGCCATGTCGCAGGCTTAAATGAAGGAGGCAAGGAGAGGGATTGGGGCAGGAGGGGGTTGAGTGCTGACCAAGGTGCTGAATCATCATTGCCCACCAGAGCATCGTTATTTCTCCTTATTTTGGGACACCCATGACTCCTCCTGGCCCCGTCTCACGGAGAATCCTGAACCACACAAGGGAAGAAGGAGTGATGGGAAGCAGAGCAGAAACAAGACAGGAGTGAGGGATGTAGTCAAGAGGCAAAGCCTTCAAAAATTAGGAGAGGAGGAAATACTTTTATTTTGAAATGTGCTCATTTTCCTTTCTTTTTCCTTTGAGCTGGATAAAATTTTTGTATTCTTTTTTTTTTTTTTACCCTGGATACAGAATAGGAGAGTCTTCTATCTTCTTTCAAAATTTTTACAGTTCTATTATATTTATGACTATTACAAAATGACCCCCACCCATTTTAGGAATTAGATGACACTTTGGACCAGAGGCCCAGGAGCTTCCTACTCTGATGTCATGACAAGGGAGGTCCTTTCAAGAGGCTAAAGCTAAAGGCACAAAGGCCAGGTCCTGATGAGCACCCCAAAACTGTGGGCCTAGATGTGACCAAGTCTGAATACTGGAAGAGCCTAAGGAATCCTCTAGCTCAATCTTGAGATCTGGAGAGGGTTGGTTTCTAGCTCAAGGTCATACAGCACATGCCAGAGCCAAGACCAGAACCCAGGTATCCTGGTTCTCAGCCAGCACACAGGGGTAGGAGAATGGCCAACTGAAAGGGCCTCTGCCCAAGCTAGGAAAAGGAGCACAGAGGGCCGACCAGAAGGGGACAGGGGAGGGCTGAGGAAGGAGGTGCTCAGAGAAGGACCCCCATGTCTGAGAAGGTCAGCAAGGTGCGGTGGGGGCTAGGGAATCTTCAGAACAGGGGACTGCATCTCCTTGGAGTGGAGAGGATAACAAAAAGGCCACAGAGTCAGGAAGTGCAGACAGCCCAGCTGGGCATACTGGTCAGCATCACAGACTCTGGGACAGCTGCTGAGAGACCACTAATCTCAACCCTGTCATTTTACAGATAAGAAAACTGAGACTCAAGTGGGAAGACACCCGTGGGGCAGAGCCAGGCCCAACCCAGGTCTCCTGACTCCCAGCTATCCGTTTTTTTACACCCAACCTCTAATCTCCACACTGTGGATTCTGATGCCTCCTCCCACTCCCTGGGAACCTGGAGCCTGAGCAAAAGGAGAAGAGGAGTGGCCAGGACCCCACAGCCCTAGGCACCAAGAGCTGGGTGCCTTCCTCTGTCCTTCCCAAGGAGAAGGGAGAATTGGCCTGAACCCCAGCAGTTCCTCTTCCAGGGCAGAGCCAGTTGGTGCCCGCCCACACCTAGTACCTCCCTTGCTGGCAACAGAGTCCAGAGCCAGCACCAGCTACAGCAAGGACAAAGCCACCCAGGCAGCTGCTGGAGCCACAGGGAGTCACAGGTAAGTGAAGGCATAGGGAGTGAGGGTCCGAGGGAGTCCCCTGATTCCACGGCACTAGAGTCAGCCCTGGAACCTGGAATCTGGAGGGGTTTACAGAATTTGGAATTGGTGTTTGTTTGTCTGTTTGTTTCCCAGAGAAGGGGCTTTTATCTTCTCACTCCCTGTAGGTGGAACCCCTGGGCTCCACTGCAAACCCCAGACTGAAGCCCCTCCTTGACCAAACCACCAGATCCACAAACCTGCCACTGGGAGAAGGGAGATATAGATAAATCCCCCAGGAGGTCCTAGAAAAAGCAGTGACTGGCTAGAGGTGTATGTGTCTCACAGATGTGAGGCTGTGGGTCGAGGCCTGAGAGAACCTTGCTGAACCTGGGTGGGCCCCGACTCTGTCCCTGACTCCCAGTGACCCTGGACAGCTCCCTTTCATTGCCACCTTATGAGAAGTCCACTCCTCTTTGGTTTAGCAAGAGGGATGGGGGGTCCTGGATTATGGGCCAAGTCCCAATTCTAAGGTTCTAACTTGAGGCAGCCTCACGGAGTTTGGCCAAAAAGTGCCTACCTCTTTCACCCTGTTCTAAGGTTCTAACTTGAGGCAGCCTCACATTTGGAGTTTGGCCAAAAAGTGCCTACCTCTTTCACCCTCCCTCTTCCTCTGTCACACTCCTAAAATGCCTCCTCCATCCCTTTATTCCTCCATCAAAACTTACTCTCCTGCGTTCCTCACAGTAACTGGCTTATGGTTTGAGATGCTGCCCTCTCCCTGACCTGTGCACAGTTATAATAGGAACCACTCCAAGAGAGTGACTAGTGGTGGGACTTCAGGCATCACACTGAGCAGGTGGGGGAAACATTATAGGGGGCTAAGAACGGAGAGGGGACTTCTTATGACTCCATACAGGCAGCACTACAGCAGCTGTTACTGTGTGGGCACAGACTCAGTTAGAAATAACAATGGCTCCATGTACCAAGCCAATCCAAGTCTTACTCTTGGCCCAGCCTTCAGCCCTCGCTCCTCACCAACACCCTGATACAGGCCGGTGGCAACACAACACAGCCTTTCTGTTTCCAGAGGCTTCCTATGGAAGTGGAAAAGACTGTGCACGTAACGTTAGAATCAGAG